TCACAAAGACACACAGTCTTATTTTGCTAGCTTCTTTGATTTTAAAGAAAAGAAGCAAGATCCATACCATTAGGTTGTGGTTTAAGACCCTAGAGGAATGTTAGATGCTAATTAATTTTATTTATTGGTCTAACTCCATACTATGAATGTTATTTTATTCTGAGAGTGTGAAGAGGAGAATAAAAACATGTGACCCATGCTTACCCTTAAAATATTTTATTTTAAAATGTGATGACTTATATGTAATCTTGTGGAAGAAAAAGATAAGGTTGCAGAATGTATTTGAAGTTATATCTTCATGACACAGCAAACCACCTGGCCAAGAACAAAGTGGAATGTTGTGGGAGCTGATTAACATCATCCTCTGTCCCCTCATGCTACCCCAGGCCTCCTGCTTTTAAATACTCATCTCTGTGTCCCATGAAATACTAGAACTTAACTCACAGGGACTGAGAACTCATCTGTTTCAACTCTCTTACTTTAGGCAGGTAGACGTATCCCCAATTTTACACATGAAACAACTGAGATCCAGAAAGTAAAAAAAGGTCATTTTCGATTGTAGTATATCACTAATCCTATGGTATTGGTCATGCCTTTTTAACCTTTCTGAGCCTGTTTTTTCTTAACCTGCCAAATGAGGAGGAAGATAATATTAGGGTCTAATACTTTGAAAAGGTAAGGTGAGGGCTGGGTGCGGGGGCTCATGCCTGTAATCCCAGCACTTTGGGAGGCCGGGCGGGCGGACCACGATATCAGGAGATCGAGACCATCCTGGCTAACACGGTGAAACCCCATCTCTACTAAAAATACAAAAAAATTAGCCAGGCGTGGTGGCGGGTGCCTGTAGTCCCGGCTACTCGGGAGGCTGAGGCAGGAGAATGGCATGAACCCAGAAGGCAGAGGTTGCAGTGAGCCAAGATTGCCTCACTGCACTCCAGCCTGGGTAACACAGCGAGACTCCACCTCAAAAAAAAAAAAAAAAAAAAGAGAGAAAAGGTAAGGTGAGGGTTGTTAACGTTAGAATGAGTGACTAATGGGTCTTATGGACTTTCCTCTTTGGGAAATCTTTCAAACTGACGTTATTTAAGATTTTTTCCAACATGTTAAGAGCAATTGATTTCTTGGTGGTAGGAGTATGAGTATTCAAAATGTTCTTCCCTGTTTTTGTAAATTTCCTACATCATATCTCAGTACTAAGAAAAAGTAACCAAAGTTATCTTTAAAATGACACCTCTCTGGGATAGTTTCTATCAATCTTTGCTGAAGGTGGGGGATGGACTAGTTCAGTGGTATCCAAAGTGAAGGACCTGCACATTTGGGGCATCTGTGAGATAATTTATGGAGGATGCAGGAGGAAAACATTAGGATTTCTATTATTATTATTATTTTTTTTTTTTTTGAGACAGAGTCTCACTTTGTTGCCCAAGCTGGAGTGCATTGGCATGATCTTGGCTCACTGCAACCTCCGCCTCCTGGGTTCAAGTGATTCTCCTGCCTCAGCCTTTTGAGTAGCTGGATTACAGGCATGTGCTACCACGCCTGGCTAATTTTTGTATTTTTAGTAGAGACAGGGTTTCACTATGTTGGCCAGGCTGGTCTCAAACTCCTGACCTCAGGTCATCCACCCACCTCAGCCTCCCAAAGTGCTGGGATTATAGGCGTGAGTCACCGCGTCCAACCTCTATTCACTTTTATCTCAACCTTTTAAACTTTTATTTATGTGTCTCTTATATAATGTACATAATATATTGGTAATGCATATATCATTTATGAATAATTTATGTTAATGTTTGCTGATCCAAGACCACCCAGAACACACTCGTGCTCAAAGTTAGGTTTTTTTTTTTTTTTTTTTTTTTTGAGGCGGAGTCTCACTCTGTCGCCCAGGCTGGAGTGCAGTGGCGCGATCTCGGCTCACTGCAAGCTCCGCCTCCCGGGTTCCCGCCATTCTCCTGCCTCAGCCTCCCAAGTAGCTGGGACTACAGGCGCCGCCACCACGCCCGGCTAATTTTTTTGTATTTTTAGTAGAGACGGGGTTTCATTGTGTTAGCCAGGATGGTCTCGATCTCCTGACCTCGTGATCCGCCCGTCTCGGCCTCCCAAAGTGCTGGGATTACAGGCTTGAGCCACCGCGCCCGGCCAAAGTTAGGTTTCTTTAGCTTGCTGGTATGGGAGAGGGAGGACACTGCGGAAGAACCATGGGCATCTTAGTGACAGGAGGATGGGAGCGGCTTCTCACTGCATTTGAGCTTGTGCCTGAGATGACTCTAAGGAAGCAGGGACTGGTTCTGGGTTGGATGCTGTTAAGAAATGGGAGCAGTTCACTGGCTGGCTATATAGTTACAACTTCTGTGTGATAGGCGAGAGAATTAAAGCAAGGCTATAGTTGTTATTGGTAAATGAGCAAATGTCACACATGTCGGTCAGAAGAGGGAGACATTAAGTATTGTGGCCTTGTCTCTGTCTTGTCCAAATGTGGTCACGGAGTGCATGTCTAATATTATTTCTAGTCTATGAGCCTTCAGGTTCAATTGCTACCTTAATGTACTGGCTGTTCATCAGGGTCATTTTCCGCTTTCTCTTACATGTACATTAAGGAACTGCTCAAAATTTTCTGTTGAGATGGGTGCTTGATTTTAAAAGTTTAGAGGCATTTGTCTAGATGATTGATGTCTCAGTATCCTTTCAAAGTAGGTATTTTGCAGCAATTAAGAAGTTGTGAAGACAATCACCTACACGAATACCTCAATGCTGCTTGGAGCACAAAATTACAAATTCATCCATGCGGTCTGTCCCTCCTGTCATCTCAGGGAACTTGCTTCCTGGCCACACTCTCTTCTCTCCCTTCTGTGCGAGGTCCCTTCTTCACTGTCTTCTTCCTTTAATGTGTAAACATACTCAAGCCTTCTCCACTTTCAAGGGTATTTTCTAATCCTATTTTTTCTTTCTACAGTCAGACTTCTCGAACGTTTTGCCTGCCTTTTCTTTATTTATTTCTTTTTTTTTTTTTTGGCCAAATCTTTTTGCCTGCCTTTTCTTAACACCAACTCATTTCATTTCAAAGAAACAATTTGTTAAAATTCACATTCTGGAAATACATTTTAGCTCATTTTAGAGAATCTGGAAAATATAGAAGGGTGTAAAGAAAATAATGTTCACTCATCTCAAAACCTGGTTAGCTCAGTTGTTAATATGCTATTCAATAATTTTTACTGTGTACCTACTGTGTACAATACACTGGTTTATGTTTTGAGACTATACTGGTGAAGATGAAGGACACGGCAAGTGTGTGTGTGTGTGCGTGCGCACATGTGTACGTGTATAATTTCAAACTCAAATTATCCTCTTTACTCTTTTATTCTTTTATTATTTCTGTTCCCTTCATTCCCTTAAAATGCCTACTCTAAGGAATATCAAGTTCCTACTAATTGCTAATCCAATAGTTTTTTCTCATCCCTCACTGCATTTAAACTTCCTGCAGTTTTGAGGGGCATTTTGACCCTCCTCCTGCTTGAAACTTTCTCCTCTGTATGGAGTTTAATACTACACTGAACATGTCTTTCCTGACTGCTCTAGTTCCATGTAAGTCTGGGTCCCCACCTGTGATTCCTGTATCTACCCTGGAATGTAGGCACTCCGCAGGAGTCCACCCTGTTCACTGTTGCTCACATCTGGACAATTACATATTCTACTGTTGGCTGTAAGGATCCCTCAGTTCCCTAAACTATAGCAGCTCCAGCTTTGCGTACTCTCCTAAGCTCTAGAATCTTACTTTTCTTCTATAGGTGGCCCATGGACACATAGTCTCAACATGGCTAGGACTGAGCTCATTCTATTCCCCTACTCCCATTGAAAATTTGCTGTTCCTTACTGTATACCTTATCTCATTTAAGTGCTTCACCATCCTTCTATTCATCAGGGGTAAAGACCTCAAATCGTCTTTGATTCTCTCTTCTCACATAGGCACCACATCCAATCATTTGTCAAGTCATGGCAGCTCCACTCATTTGTAATATTTGTTCATGGATTCGTTTCTTTTGTTTCCACTACCATTAGCCTTGTCATCTCTTGTTTTGTTTAAATAGCTACATCTTAGGTCCTTTCCTTTGGCCCCGTTCCTCTCCAATTCATTGTCACGTTTATTTCATAATGACATGATTGTGTCACTCCACTGATTGGAAGTCTTGAATGATGCTCGGTAACCTTTATTAAAAAGGCCTGGCTCAAAAGCCACCTCCCCTATGAATCTTCTCCACTCTAATAATTCAGCCCACCTTCATGCTCCCACAGTTTTCTATATTTCTTCTTCAAGATTAATTTATTCTGTCTAGTATTATATGTGTTGCTTGTTTATTAGCATCTTCTCCTAGACTTTTTGCCCCAGGTTTGCACATAGTTGACTCTCAATAGTGTTTGCAAAACTGCATTTATGTTATGTGACTCTTCCTATTATCTCCAAACTGAGTAGATGGCTTCGTTCTCTGATATTACTTATTCACATAACAATGGAAATCAAGCGACAACAAAAGGCAATTTAAAAATCATTTCTGCCTCACTTAGGTGCTGCTGTAATGTGGATTTGTTCTTGTTGTTGGTTTTCCAACATGTTGCTTAGTTGGGCCATATTTTATTATGGCAGATTTTGTGGCTATGAAAAATGGCAGGATACACATAATTAAGTCGAAAATAGCATTTTACACCAGGTTTTGCATTTAAGATTAAGTAAATAGAACAACATTTGGCTACTCAGTCAGTCTTTTCTAGGAAACCAAAATACTGATTGAAATCTTCACTAAACTGATTTTCTTTTCTATCTACTGAGTGGTCACAGTGTTGGCTGTTGTTGACGTGCCCTTATTTTTCGGCAGTGACTTTTGCCAGTGTTGTTTTCCTAAATCACCCAAGAGAAACTCAGAGAACCCCAGGCTGTTTCAATAAAAGGACTTGCTTTGAATCCAGGGTACCGGTACTGAGATCCTGTTGGCCTGTGGTGTACTCACCGTGTCTAACATCTCCCGAGTATGGGCTGCTGAAACACAAAACCGAGCCCGAGCTTCTGCGAGGGGAGTGGCTGGAAATCCCACGACCACCACTCCAATTTTTTTCTCTAACATATGCCTTGCAAAAGCCCTTAAGGAAAAGAAAAAAAAGGTGGTTAATTGGGAAAAGACAACATTATCCTGACAAAAAAGGAATATGGCGAATTGACTTTTTCTTTTTTTCTTTTTTTATGATAATAAGTGGAAGATGATTGAAGTTTTTGAACTTCCGTCAAATACAATTGACGAATAAATGGGCAGTCAGCCACTTGGTGCCACTCATGATGGTGTGTGTGGGATTATGGGTCTGACACACTTATTAGGTAATTGTGGATATTGAGTCTTTGACATCAAGCAGAAAATGCTGATGTTTATGATACCGGTTTAACAAATCTGCAGTGACATAAAATTCACCTGCAGGATCCCTAGGTATAAAAACCAAGCAGTTCCTATAATGCAATTCGATAAAAGAAAGAATCTATATTAATTGTAAACCTGCATGTTTTAAAAACTTAATACCAATAACATAATGAGGAAATTTCAAGGAGCCTATACTTAATGAGTATAATGTGAAGACCAAGATCAGAGGGTCTGTAGGATCCAACCCCAAGTCAATATTCTCACTGCAGCACCAAAGATTATGTTTTCCATCAAATCAGAGATAAGAAATAGCAAGGTCTCCTGATTGTTTCATAAGTGAATGAACATACCCAGGGATGCACAGGGATAATAAACTCAGCGACTGAGTTTAAGAGGAATGGGGCAGAAGGGAGACTAGGAAAGAAGTGTTCATGCAGAGAACCTTACAGCCTATAGGATGTAAGTCATAGAACCAGAAAGCTGTTTGATGCAGGGTAAAACCTTCGTAAGCTATGATTCCTTCTATTCATCCTTCTAGTCTCTTTCTTTTCCAGAGCTAATCTCAGTAACAATTCTAGAATATCAAGCTCAAAGTCTGTAAATATCTAGTGCTGAGAGCCAAGGTCAGACAAAAAGTCACTCCAGTGACTCTTTTTCCCTTTTGGGCTCTGTTAGTCTTTGCAGGAAAACTTAATTACTGAGTGACTTTACCCATAAGTGAGGTAAATGCCTCAGATCTGTTCTTAGCATTAAGAGATTGCTGTTGTATTTTTTTAGGCTGGAAGCTGACAGCACCAGAGAAACATTCCAATCACAGGTCAGGAAGAATTCTTGAACCAGACATGGAGAATAAGCCTGCTCTTCCATTCACTTGTTTTGCTGTTGAGCAGTCTGCCTTTGGTTGTTTCAGACAGAACATAGGTTATCAGATGAAGCAATGAAGACTGCAAGACCTACAAGATGCATAGCTTCTCTGGTACCCTAGCTTGGGCGAGGCAATATTAGCCCTTTGATTTCAACTAGGAAGGTTGGAAGGAGATGAAGCTTTCTAGCTGAGAAAGCTTGAAAACAGAGACTGTTCTTTCTCTTTCTTGATCACCCTATGGAAGGCTGCCCACGGAACTGCACAGAATGAGAGCTCATAATTGTCTGAGAAACAAGTCAAGTGCTTTTATTGCTAGAGTACAAACCACCTGACCCCTGATCTCAGGCCAGTTTTTGGGACTCCCAGAAGACCGCTTTCACTGTCTGCATGTTTCTCTTTGTACCAAAGGAAGCACGTTTTGCCAAAGAATGCAGAGCAAAATATATGACTCTGTTGATTCATTAGGCTAATCTGGCGTCTCCCTGGAGCACTTCTGAATTTAAACCTTACACTACTAAAGCTAGTGTTCTTAAGTTAATATGTATGATTGCACTGGAAATTTTATATAATGAGCCTTTGTGTTTGTACTCCCTGAAGCAATTGGCAATAGGCTGAAAGAAACTAAACTATGTGAAATAATAATAATAATAATGATAATAAACATTAGCATTGCATTGTATGCAGAATCACTACCTCTTGTATAACACCATCTTCCAAGTGCATTACATGAACAGGGGAAGAAAAATGCAAACCCTTTACCAAATACCAAATACAATACATTCTTGATTATTTAAGTATGTTTTATGGGTGAAATCACATTACACAGCTCTCTAGAAGATTCCAGTGGTAGACTTATAACAAGGCTTTGTTCTAAAGGATAACTTGCTACAGACTATGTTTTCATTCTGCATAGGAGGAAATGTAGAGATCACCATTCTTTAGTAAAATCAAAGGTTTTTAAATGACCAAATGAAAGAAGTGCTTCCACACTGGCTTATACAATTAACACCCTATTTCAAAAACGTCTCTACCTATAAACTTCCAACAAAGAAATATCACAGAAGGAAACAAAGTCAGACAGCAGGGCAAACTCTTGCCAGCAACTCCTACTGGTGACAGATAATACTACCTTTTGTAACTAACCTCTTCTGTTTTGTTAGGTGAGCCAGATTTTTTTTTTCTGTTTGTAGTGATTGCTGCCTTTTGAATCACCAATGATGACATTAAAAATCGTTATACTCTGTGTTGCTTTAATGAGATGTGCATTTTTTCCCTATGGACTAAAGCTTGAGAGATTGTGTTCTGTGTTCAAAAGAGCTCTAATTTATGAAGCCAATGAAACTGGCTTTGAATTCTGAGCTCTGCTGCCTGCAACCTGTGTGAGTCTTAGAGAGCAATTTTTTTTTTTTTTTTAGATTTTTTTTCATGCTTGTTGCCCAGGCTGGAGTGCAGTGGTGTGATCTCGGCTCACTGCAACCTCTACCTCCCGGGTTCAAGCGATTCTTCTGCCTCAGTCTCCCAAGTAGCTGGGAGTACAGGTGCCTGCCACCATGCCCAGCTAATTTGTGTGTGTGTGTGTGTGTTTTTAGTAGAAACAGGGTTTCACCGTGTTGGCCAGGCTGGTTTCAAACTCCTGACCTCAGGTGATCCACCTGCCTCGGCCTCCTAAAATGTTGGGATTACAGGTATGAGCCACCACACCTGGCCTTAGAAAGTAATTTGACCTTTCCAAGTCTTAGCATCTTCATATATAAACTAGGGCTAAACATCCTACCCTCCATGGGTAATCACTGAGGTCTAATAGCCTTACTTAGCATATATTTAGTACTCTGTGATATTAGCTCTTCTTAAAAAATAATCTTAAGTTGAAAGAAACAAGATGGTTTGACATATTATCCAGTGTATATAGCAATATGGAAGCGGAGTGTATCAGGATCTTTACCTACTATTTTTTTCTGGACGTTTTATTTTTCATAATGCAACCAAAAATTGTAATAATTATTTTGGAGAGCTGTGCAACCATGGTGACTCAACCTTGTACTCAGTTGAAACTCATAATGATCATCATTGTTGCAGAGTAGTAGTAGTAGTAAAATGGCTACCACTGATTGAATGCTTAGAGCACGCCAACTACTATATTAGGTGCTTTGTACACATTACTAAAAATGACATTATTAATGACTTTATTGATTAATGCTATTAATAATGACAGCTAACACTGAATAGCTCTTATATAAGAGGTAACATGCTAACTGCTTTATGGACATCATCTTGTTTAATCTTCATAGTAACCTTATGAAATTGATACTATTATGTCCCATTTTATAAATGAGAAAGCTGGAGCTTCAGAAAGTTAAGTAACTTGTCCAAGAATCCCCAGCTAGGAAGAGGAATAATCAAATTTCTTTTTGATTCCAAACCTTTCACCACACCATAGAGCATAACTTTTATATGAAGCATATTGTTCATAGCATATTGTATGAATTCTTGAAGTTACGTGCATTTGTTTTCACTACTTATGGACTCTTCTCATTGGGTTGGTTCAGTTTTCCAACCTGTTGGAATTCTAATTCTGGCTTTTGTTATGAAAGTTGGAACTATCCAGAACACTCCCTACTGTCAGTGGAACACTCCAGAATTATGTGTGTTTTGCCTTGGACACGTTTAGTTTCAGTGCCTTCTTTTGAGCTAATGATAAAATACTAGATAAACCTGAGCTAAGTTTGGACTATTTCTTCCAACACACATCATTTCCCCAATCATTTTGAATAAATGTATGTGTGTCTGTGCATGTGTGTGTGTGTTTGTGTGTCTTCAAAAATCAGGTGGTTAAAGGCCTTTGGATTGTCTGCTACTTTCAGTCACCGTTGTCACCCCTCCTTGACATTATCACAGAGCAGTACGACGTATAACATTTTTGTGGCACATTATGTCCTCAGACACTTCAGGCACTGTTTTCCTGACCCAGATCTGTGAACAAAGGGCCAACTGGTGGGAATGATGTGGCATGCTAAAAACTCATGCGTGTTTTAACTGCTTGTGATTTTGCTGTGGTAAAATGACCCAAGACATAGTCTGAAGAATCAGTCTTTTAGGAACTTAAAACTCAGTCTTGCCCTCTGTGAGTTTTCATGAGTAAGCCCCAAGCCTCTTTGATTGGTATTTTTCTATACTTCAAGTACTCTGCCAATCTAGTCAGGCTATTAGAGAGTCAAACAAAGTTCCAGCAATAGGTTACACTGGAGGGGAGTTAGGACCACTAGAATCTGATGCATAGTATGTTGAATATGAATTTCTATCATGTGCTTGGTCAGAGACACAAACATTTTACCTTCAGAAAGGATTTTAGTTAACTTCCTTTTTTTTTGAGACAGGGTCTCATTCTATCACCCAGTCACCTAGGCTGGAGTGCAGTGGCACAATCTCAGCTCACTGCAACCTCTGCCTCCTGGGGTCAAGTGATCCTCCTGCCTCAGCCTCCCTAGTAGCTAGGACTACAGGCATGCACCACCACATCCACCTAATTTTTGTATTTTTAGTAGAGACAGGGTTTCACCATGTTGGCCAGGCTGGTCTCGAACTCCTGACCTCAGGTGATCCACCTGCCTCACCCTCCCAAAGTGCTGGGATTACAAGCATGAGCCAATGTGCTCTGCTAGTTAACTTCCTCTTAACAACATGTAATTAGTCTAATTATATTAGTCTCTAGTAGGTTGGAGAAGGACTCGTGTATAAAATTGTCCCTGCCAAACTGACAAAAAGTCATGTTCTCCTCTTTATACAGTTGTTGCTAATGCTCAGTTTCAAAGTTGCAATCAAGTAAACAACCCCCAAACAGGTTCACAGTAAGGGCATGAGAAACTGAGCATGAGCTTCAATGTGAGCCTTGGTTTGGGTTTTTGCATCTTAGTTTTACTGCTGTTTGACTAGTATGACTTGGGGCAGGTTGCTTAACTGCTCTCAGCCTCAGCTTCCCCATGCTTGAAGTGAGAATGTCCTCTTCTGAGGATGGCCACAGAGTTCAATGGGAGAAAGCACAGAGCCTGATCACATTGTTTTGATGGTAATATGGGGAGAGATGATCTTCAGAAGTTCTCCCTGAGAACGGTCTTGGGTCAGAAGGAGGCTCAGGATCGTGCTTAATTTACAGGTGAGGCTGAGGGAGATAAGTGATTTCCCTAATTTCACAGGACTTGAATTTAGGGAGAGAGCTCAATCTTAGCACCTAGTTCCCTTTCTGTAAGACCTGTGGGAAGGGTCTAGCTGATAGGCTGGCAGGTGGCTTCTGAGCAGCTGTATGAGTGAATTCTGAACTCAATCACCCCATTCCAAATGCATAATCTAACGCCTGTGCCAAAAAGCCATCTTAGGTCACCTTGGGGTTTAGGTGTGATTATGAGATGCCTTGGATACTTACGCTACTTTACCAGGCATGTAAAGAAGCAGAGGAACAACAGGAGAATTCTCATTGCCATAGATAATGAATCCCATTTCCTGCAGTCTTTGTCTGAAGTATCTTGTGTTTTTCGCAAGTTGCCGTACTCTCTGCAACCCTGAAAAGAGACAGGTGTGAAATCCATCAATTCCCACTAGAAAGAGGAAAGTAAAGTTCAGGTCAACTTGGCAACCATCTCTAAGTCTTTCTGCAGGCCAGCACCACTAGCTGGGAGGAGGAAGTACGGAAGGGAGATATCTCCTGGGGAGTAGGTGTGGGCACTGAGGCCCAGGTACTGCACTGAACCTGGAAGGCAGGAAGAGAGGTAGATGATGCTATGAGGTGCTGCAAGCAACTGAAGCCAGGCTACGCTAGAAGGCCAGTGGGAGGCAGGGGAGGTACCTATTTTTTATAGACTCTGTGCGAAGTACCTTAAAAACACCAACATGAGAGAAGGGAGTGTGATTAGAAGTAACATAACCACTTCCTCCCACCTCCCACGCTTCATAGCAGATATTGGTAGATGCTTTTTAGCTAAACTGAATTGGCTCATTAAATTGTCCCTCATTTAAATCTCTAACCAAAGGATCCTTCATCCAATCTGAATTTGTAGGGATAGCACATTCATAGACAAAGGTAAGTCCTGCTGAGATCAGGGCTCTTTTTTGAGGCATTTGGTGGTAGACTAACAGAAGCGAGGAAAGAGGGGGGACTCCTGCTTTCCCAAGCCAGAAAAAAGGACAACATTGACCCAAAACAGAAGCAAAGTACATACAGGGATCCATGTCAAGGTTATTGGTGCTTCAGCTCTAAGTCTTATATCCTGTGTCCTAAGTGTGTGTCCCAGTGCAATGTTCACACATGTGAGATGTCAAAGTGATGAAAGAGCAGAAAGTCCCATCCTGAAGATGCCTGTCTACTCGGGTCCTGCTTCAAAATAGGTGGGTAAGTAAGCCAGCCAAAGCTAGATAGTGTTTGCTCAATAAGAATGAATAGGATTAAACACTGAACTCCCCTAGAAATCAGCTCAAAGTTTGCATTTGATGCAGGATTGCTGCTGGGCAGGAATGTGTCACTACAGTCTTATATCTTACTGGTTGTCTTTAGCGGACCTCCATTCTGAGTGGTGAGATGTTCAGACGAACTGGTCAGAGATTCTGCTCTAGGGGTTATACAATGTTTTGAACATCACTCATGGGTGTTTGTAACTCTTCAGATGGAAATAGGGTAAACATTTCAGTAAACATGTCAATCACAGTCATCTGGTCTCTTCTTAGAGAAATAGCCCCAGATTGTGCCTTGACAAAGGATTGAGCAGTGGGCATCTTGTGCTCAGCATCCTTCTCCAGAGAATCATACTGTTTGAGTAGGGTTGGCCCTGACTTTCCTCTTTTCTACAAGGCAATATGAGGGCCAGTCTTGATCAGTTGGAATATTTCATCCCCCTGATTATTGGTTTGATGATGGAGCACAACTAGAGACTATTTGAGTCTTTCTTTCAGATCGACTGAGGAAGAAGTGTAAGCATCAAATAATTATAAAGCTGCATCTTTGTCCTCTCCTGGAGGAAGCCTGCTTGAGAATGATATTGACTCACATAGAAGTCACTGCGCAGGACACTGAGAGTCCTGATGGCATCATCTGAACCTTTGGGTCTAGCTGTGCCTAAGCCAGACCATTTTTTTAGATTTCCCTGCTGTATGAGCCAATACATTTCCTCTTCTGCCTCCTGTAACCAAATGTGTCCTGAATAATTCAGGTGGTGGCTACTAATTGGATCAAGTAGCCTCTAAAGGACAATAATAATATCAACAACAACAATAATTATAGCTCACCCATATGTGATGTCACCATTGTTATAAGCTCTTGACATTTATTGATTTAGTCGTCACAACAACCAAATTGGTATAAGAACTGTAATCCTATGTTATACACAAGGAGAAGCCAAAGAACTTACACAAATTTACATAGTTGGTAGGTGACCAAGCCAGAATTAGATTCTAGAATCCATTTTGTTAGTCCCTCCACTATAATGCTCTGCCCGGGTAAGGGATGGTGGTAATCGGTTCTTCTAAAGATCAATAAAACTCTCATTTCTCCCAGCTGTTTGTATTATGGTTTATATATATATATATAAAATATGTATAAATACATATAAAATATATTATATATATAAAAATATATATATTTTTAAGTAGAGGCAGTTGAGAGTTGAAGGCTGAGCAAGTGCTTGATGGACTCACGTTGTGAGTGGTTGGGTAAGGTATCGCTAGCATAGGATATCACTAGGTTGGAGTCTAGGGCCCCCTTCACTTTAGGTAGAGGTCCTGAAGGGCTGTGTCCAAGGAGCGAGGGTGAACCAGGTATAGACAAGCTCCCAAAGGCACTTTCTTTACCCAGACATCTAACATTTTTTCACTCATCTCTATCACTCCCAAAATACTTCAAATATTCCTTTAAGTTTTCCTTTGCTCATTGGGCCTAAATGGACTTAACTTCTGTGATACCTTAATTGTGTTAATGATACGGTATATGCAGAGAAATGGAGATTTAGTTGAGTGGAACACAGACCAAGGAGCAAGATGCTAAATGCCCCGATCGTCCATGCTTGTTTTCTGTTACTTTCTTTTTCCCAACTCCAGTTCTCAAGGATGATCCTTCCCCAACTCTGCCAGCTCCCAGCAGGCAGATTGGGATGGAGAGATCATCTGGCTTATTGTTCTTTCCTAAGGATGCTGACATCTCAGCCCCTCTATCCTGACCACAGACAATGAATGGAACATGCCCTTGACCCAAAGGCAGTCCACTTTGGTGTTTGCAAGGAAGCCATACATTGGTCTATCATAGGAGCTTTGAAAAAGAGACAATAAATATAAATTAAACAAACCAGATCTTCTTGCTATTACAGTGTGGATGTGAAAAATCTAGAGAGGATGGTAGTAAAATTTAGTTGGTAGTGAGAGTAGAAATTGAAAGACATAGAAAAAATGCTTATTGGCAGAATCTGTGAGACAGAGTAAACTATTGGTTGGTAGAAGTTGTGGCTACCTATAAAGAAGAGAGGTGGGCAGTTCAAGGTTAGTCAGTAACAATAGGAATAGTAAGATATAAAAACAGAAGAGCTTATAGTCTTGTGAGAGAAACAGACATTAATCAAATAATCACACAAATGGTTGTAAAATTGCAACTCTGATGAGCAGTGTAGAGAAATGTTATGTGGTGTTATGAGAGCTCATAAGAGGGAGACTGGACCAAATCTGGAAAAAATCAATAAACGATGAATGAACAAAGATCCAAAGGATGAGCAAGTATTAACCATACAAAAAGCTAAAGGAGAGTATTCCAGGCCTAGCAAATAGGTGCAATGGTCTTGTGGTTTGTAGAAGAACACAGAGGTTGTGAACAAGGCAAGATGTAGTTGAGGGTGGGACAAGATGAGGCTGGAAAGATGAATGGATTGTCTAAAAAAGAAAAAATGAGGTGAGACTATAGGGATTGAAGAATCCCACACTTGATGATTGGAAGGAGTAGGAATAAGATGAATTTGAAAGGGAGACAAAATAGCAGCAACCAGAGAGGGAGAAAACAAAGCCGGACATAGAATAGTGTTCCTTGGTTTTATCAACATGACAACTCATTGACAACCTTTACTTTGGAGTCCCTGGATGGAACTTTGATTTTAAAGAAAGAAACAGGTAGTTCCAAGTATGGTTTCTTAGTTCATATTCCTTTCAAAATCCCCAATTCTAAATTTGCAATGTGAATAGAAGTAAGAAATCCAGAGATGCGTAGAAACATCTGTGTGTCTCTATATATGTGCTTAGACACAGTCTCCTTTGTGCTAAAAAAAAGGAATTTTATAACATGCTGGTGTGTCCCTTGGAAACTTGTATGTTTACAGAGCTTATTGGAAGTGCAGGATTAGAAATTAAGAAGGAGAATATTTGCCTTACTTAAGAAAAATCACCCATACATTGAAACTGTGTTTAGAGAGTTAAGAACATGTGGAGTAGGGGGAGATTGTGGACAGAAGGAAAGGAAAAGAGAGCTATGGTAAGGATTGTTTTAAAGGTGATTGAAATCAAGGCACAGAGATACATCTCAGCCACCAAAATATATTCCATATGGCCTGTCCCCGTGTGCGTTCAGCACTTTTGTGGCTCATTAGCTACACAATGAACAGATGACTTAATCAGGCTGAGCCTGATGATTCCTACATGTTCCCCCTTGAAGACTAGAAGGATTTCCTGGCCTGGAAGTGCCTGAGTGGCTTCAATTGCTTTTCCCAATGGCATTATCTTTGCACTTGCCTATAATGATTCATCTATCATTGGCTGCCTAGCTACTTAATTGGCCCCGGCTGTCCCTGCTTCCTTGATTAACCCAAGAAACTGGATCATCAGCTAATGTCACCATTTCACTGCTTCCAGATCCTTCAGAGACTTTACCGAACAGATGATGTCCAGGGGTCTCTGACGCCTAAGAACTAAATGTTTTATTCTTCCTTATCTTTCCTATCTTTGAACCATTTAGCACAGCATGGCTGACAAGCCATTATGACACACTTTGTGGTTGCCACACTTTCTCATATAGGTCACTACAAATGCCTTTGAGGTCTTTTGCGTTTGCCAAGATACAGCTCCTTTCAATTACTGTATTGCTCATTCTTCAAAATTGAAAACATTCTCATACTCTTGGAAGGCCTAGGGACAGAGGTGGAATTTGTACATATAAAACGCTACTCATCTAAACAGGATGCAAATGATTTTATTAATTACATTGGGCTTTGAGATTTTTGCTTGAAGAGTGATTTGCAAAAGTAGAAGCAATATTTGGTGCATGTTCTTTTGTACAGGGACAGGCCATGCTAGGATGGCAAAGGGAAGCTTTGGAGATTGGGCACTGCGGCCACATCCCCTTCAAGACGCTCAGAGTCTCCAATTAAGTAGTTTCTGATCCTTCTTCTACATATTACACAGAAGACAGGGAAAGTCCCTACTAACATAAATAAGTGAATGAAAAAATCTCTTACGTAGCCTTCTGCAGAGTTTCCATAAGTATTTGTCATATTTTGGATTCTCTGAGGAGGCTGTTGAGTGGAAAAGAAATAGGCTTTGG